GGTCCTCAGCCCTCTTGGTGATTTTCACCAGCTCCCACAGGTTCAAGTCATCTCTATACTTGGCATCTAGGTGGCAAAGCCTGGAGTCAGGAAAACCCGAGTTCAAATCAGACCCTGAGCAAGTTATTTAACTTGTCTCTCAGTTTCCTTACCTGGAAAATGGGGATAACAACAGCACCTACATCCCAGGTTGTTTTGAGGATCAAGTAGGATAATATTTATGAAGTGCTTAGCATAGTGCCTGGCACATTAGAGGTACTTGTGAGATGCTGGTTTCCCTTCCTCCTTCACAGAAGATCCCCCAGATCTACAATACCCCAAGTAGCAGTCCCACACTAACTGCCCTTTTACATCTCAGCCTCCACAGGTCCCAAACAGTGCTAGCTTTCACCTCTACCTCACCTCCCCTGGTCCTCCCCCCAACCTCCAATCCCTCTGCTAGGCCATCCCCTCCTTTTTCTCCCATCGTTCCAGGGATGAATCAGTTCAACTTTGCATTGGTCTCTTCTTTCCAGTCCCCTGACCCCTAGTCCTAGCACAGATCTTGACTTGCCCTGTACGCTACCATTTTAGATTATTCCTTTCACCAAGTGCCTTCACTTCTATTCATGTACAGTTAAAAGAAGCTAGAGAAAACCTGCTGGCTGGATCTATTACCAATTTCTTACATCATCTCAACTGGGCCCTAAGCAGGCAAGGCGATGCTTTTACACCCGCCTTGTGGACTCATGATCCCACTCACCACAGCTGCTTTTCTTCTCTCCTCCAAGCTTCCCTGGCTTCTCTTTCCCCTACTCTCTCACCTGAAAACTTGCCTCATTGAAATCATTGACCAAAAGGTCCCTCCTCATCTGCCTCCCCCTACCTTCTCTTCCTTTGCCCTTCTCATATGAAGATAGCCCTACTCCTTTGCCTCTATCTACACAAGTGACTCATTTCCACCCCATCTTCTCCAGCACGCTGGCCCCTCCATCATCCTGACCATCTCAAATCTTCAGTCCTGCCCTTTCTACTGGCTACTTCCCTGCTGCCTTCAAACACACCTTGAAAAACCTGCTCCTTTCATGCCAGCTAGCTTTCATCCTCATCTGTTTTGTGGCTAAATTCCTGGAGAAAACCATCTTTAAGTTGTGCCTCTACTTCCTCACCTCTCAATTTCTTCTTAACTTTTGAGTATGGCTCAGGACCTCATCATTCACCTAAACCACCTCTCCTCAAAATTAATAATGATCTCTAATCACCAAGTGCAATGGTCTTTTCTCAGTCCTCATCCTTGATCTTTCTGCATGCAACTTCTGACAATCTCAATCACCTATTCCTCCCAAATAATCTCCTCTTTAGGTTTTAATGACACTGCTCTCTCCTGGTTCCAACTAATCAGCTCATTCTCAGTCTCCTTTGTGAGACCTTTACTAACTGTGGATTATCTCCCAAGGCTATCTCCTGGGCTCTCTGCTCTTCACCCTCTATACTATCACCTGGCTTGGTGATCTCATCAACTTCTATGGATTCAATTATCTCTATGCAGTTAATTCTCAGATTTATTCAGTCCTAACCCCTCTAGTCTTACATCTCCAACTGCCTACTGGACATCTGGAACTAGATATATGTCCACTATAGACATTTTAAATTCAACATGAACAAAACATAACTCTTCATCTGTCCCTGAAAGCCTCACCCCCTTTTAACTTCCCAGCATCTGTCCAGGACACCACCACCATCCCTCCCAGGCTTAAAACCTAGGCTCAAGTGGCCCTGGGTCATCCTGGCTCCCTTCCTTAGTATATTCTCCAGCTTATCAACGATATTAAATCATGGTGCTCAGATCTGAACATCAGACTCCAGGTAAAGTCTACCAAGGACCTCTCTCTTCCAGAAAGAGATGCCCCTCCTAATACAGCCTCAGCTTCCATTCCATCCCAGCTATCCATGCTTCCATATTTGTGCTCATTTCTCACACCAAATGTAAGGCTTTACATTCACTTCTAATGAAGATCACCTAATTAGATCCAGCCCAATGCTCTCTGGTCTGTCAAGATTCTTTGGGAACCTATCTCTTCTGTTTTTGCACTCCTTCCCCGCTCTGTATCACCTGCAAATTTTTTGTGCCTACCAAGTATACCTTTAAAGGCACTGATAAAAAGGTTAAAGAGCCCAGGATCAAGCACCCAAGCCCTGGGGTCCATCCATCCATCCAACTAGTTCTGAATCCAATGGATTAAATTATCACCCAATCCCCACTTCTCCAGTTCATCACCAAAAAGTCTAAGAGGCTTTATAAAAAACTTTTGTTAAATCTATGTAAACTGTACCTACAACAGAATATCCCTCATCTACTAGGTTTGGTAAGATTGCTCAAAAAGGAAATGAAGTTGGTCTGGCACAACCTGTGCTTCATGGAGCCAGATCAGCAGCTTCTCTTTCTCAGTGTTCACTGGCCATCTTCATCGATCTGTTCTAGACTTTCCCCAGGAATCCAAGCCATGTTCACTGGCCTGGAGTTCACAGACTGCTCCCTTCCCATCTGCCCTCTCCCATTTTCCACTGATTCCTCCTATATCACTAACAGGGGCTCAGCACTCCCTCCTCGCCTTAGGGACTTGAATTTCCTTCATCTCAGTAAGGACTACTGACTAGCTCTGGGGTGAGGAACCTTCAGCCTTGAGGCCACATGTGGCCTTCTAGGTCCTTGAGTGCAGCCTTTTGACTGAGTCCAAGTTTTACAGAACAAATCCTTTTGTTAAAGGAATTTGTTCTGAAGTTTGGATTCAAAGGGCTGCACCTGAGGACCTAGAGGGCCACATGTGGCCTTGGGGCTGCAGGTTCCCCACCCCTGACCTAGCTCCTTGCTTATCATGGCTATCAAAGTCCCTCTGTCATTTTGGTTCCATCATTTCCACTTTGTCTTTGCCAACAAAAGATGAAGAAAACAAGACCTAAGCAGTTTGGTGGTCTCTCTTGTCAGTTATCAGCCCATGTACCCCAAGCAAAGGTACCATCTGCTTTGAGCCTCTTTTTTCTTCCAATATGACCAAAAAAGGCCTTTGTGCTCTTGGCTTCCTTTGCTAACCTCAGTTCTTTCTGAACTTGAGTATTCCTATTTTTAGAGGGCTGTGATACACTCCATTGATTATTTGGCTCTGGTTCCCTCTTCTCTACACCCTCTCTTCAGACAAGTCTCACTTTTCCTCCTCATTGGAACTGATTCCTGAGCATCTCCCATGATTGGATCTCCTGGAATGACTTTCTTCCCCTGAGGCATTTTACTCAGGGATTACCCTTCTTCTGAAATCCACTCTCCAAAAACCTTGGCTCCCAGTTTTCCTCTCTTCTTATCATAGACTTTCCTGTTCCATCTTTTCCACCCCAGCATCCAGTTCACTGTTAGTGAGACTCAGATCTAGAAAGTCATTTTCCCTTGTTGCTTCTTCCATATTTTGAAGGATGTTTTAAGGGATCTCTATGCTGCCATGAAGTTATTAGCTGTTCTACTATGGTCAAGAGACATACATCCAGAGAGCTGAAGGCTCCCAGCATCCTCTGCCAAGCCTCTCATTCTTTCAGATGGTCTGGAGTCTACTCCAATAACAAAATCACTTCTCCTGTTCCCTCTTTTGATCTTAACCTGCTTCTCACCTCCTCCTCTTCCAAAATTTCCTCACCAGTATATATTTTTTAATACAATGTCACCAACTCTCCCCTTCCACCTATAAATATAACCTCTTCTTTTCAGCTTGTGGCCCCTCCGGAAGCTCCCCCCCCACACACCCAGTTCTCACTTCCAGTTAGACCTTAAGCCCCTTGAGGGCAGAGACTGCAAAGGAGCACCACTTTCTTGTACCCCTAGGGCAGAGCTAAGCACCTGGGCCTGGGTCAAAGGAAGCATTTACTTAACAAAAGGCTGGTCCGACAGCCGGGTAAGCAATATTTTCTAAGACAAGCCTTATCTTCCAGGCTCAGCCAGCCCCACCCTTCCCCTCCCTCTCCAAGTAGCATGTCCTGAGGGCCCTTTTTCTGCAGAGTAGCCCCAGCAGAGAGCTCAGCCCAGCCCAGAGCATGGAGGGAAGGCTTCCCTGGGGCCCTGCAGTAGGCTCCCGATAACTTCTACAGCCCAGGATCAGACTGGGGCCGCACGGACCCCTTAACCCGGGGTCAGGGATCAGAGGCAGGCTCCTCCGACTCTGTATCTGTCCGCACGCAGCCTGGACCAGGAAGCACAAATGCACTTCAGCAAAGCTCACAAAGAGAACGCCTGGTGCCCCCAGGGCCTGTGGGGCTCCCTAATACACCCAGTTCGCAGATGGGGACACTGAGGCCCAAGAACCCAGTCCCAGGGGATGCCTCTCGCCCCAATCTACACTACAAGATAAAGCTGGGAGTGGAAGGTCGCCCACGCAGTTCTGTCCGGGTCAGATCCAGCACATCTTTGGAAAAGGGAAACTGAGGCCGGAAACCTGGGCACTACGGCGCCATCTCCGCCCCCAATCGCGCACGCGCACGGCGCACTCCCCCCCTCCCCCGCCGCCACCTCGGGCCGCCACAGACAATGGGAGTTTTCCCGCTTCCCGGTGGCCCCGCCCCCTCGGCGGCACGCGCCCGCGCAGGCGCTCTAACACACGAGGAAGCCCCGCCCTCCCGGCAACACGCGCCCGCGCAGGCGCTGGGGAGCCCCGCCCCCTCCGGGGCAGCTTCGCTCCTCGTGAGGGGACCTTTCTTTTGGCGCCAATTCCCGGGAGCGGAATGGCCAAGGGACTGAGAGTATGCGCGTGCACGTGCCCCGCCCCGCACCCCCTCCCCGCACCCCCTCCCCTCACCGGCCTCCCCGGGACCCTGGCGGGTAAAATGGAGAAACCGCCGCAGCGCCGGCAAGATGGCGGGCGACCAAAAGAAAAACCTGAGAGGGAAAAGGAGGGGAGGGAAGGCCGCCTCCGACCCCCACCCTGGGCCCTGGCTCGGACCCGGCGCCGACCCCGCCCCGCTCCCGCCCCTGGCCCACTCACTTGTCGGCTGGGGCGAGCTCAGCGATCGCGGCAGGCTCGGTAGCCATGGTCTCTCAGAAGCGGGCGGGCGCAGAGGACAGAGACGGGGAGGGGAGGTGAGGAGGGAAGGGGAGACAGGGGCCGGGCGTTCCACAGCTCGCGAAGCAGAAAATGGCAGATTGGAGAGCCCGCGTCGCTCGGGCCGCTTTATATAGCGAGGCCATGGGCCCCGCCCACCCACTTCCGTTCCGCGTTTAAAGGGCCAGCGCAGGTCCCGCCCCCTTCGGGTCCCTCCCCTCGCGGCCCAGCTATTTATGGACTCGGAGCGCCCTCGCCGAGCTGGCGGTTACGCTAGCGAGAGGCGACCGATCGACCCCTGCCGGCGGGCCCGCGGCCCTGGAGAGAACACATTTCCCTGGAAAGATGCCATAGTGCTCCAGGACTCCAACTCCCAGCAGGCCGCGCGACCCGGGTGGGCTCCGGAAGTAGGGGCCGCGAGGCTTGCTGGAAGTTGAAGTCTCCTCTGCCGCCCGAGGCTTCGCCAGATGCCCTGTTTGGCTACCAGGTCGGGGTGAAGAGACTCCAAGGCCTGAGCCTCCTCCTGCTCTCTCTTCCTCCTCTGCTCTGGCACCCTCGTTCCTGGTAGAGGCGTTGGCGCCGACTCTAGGAGCTGTGGCCAGGGCTGCAGGGAGAGGAGGGGGAGGAAGAGCAGAATGGCTCCAGCCTCAGCAACGGATGACGTAAAAGGACGCCTTTGGCCTATTGGCTGAGGCTGCTCCCGCGGCTCTCCATTCAAAGCGCCGCCCGCGCCTTAGAGGTTTAGCGCCGGGGCCGCCTCCTCACGTGGGCTCCCTTTGGTCCCGCCCCCAACCGAGTCCTCAGCCTATAGCCGTGCGGGCCGCTAAAACCCTGTAGTCCCTTTAACTCCGCGGCGCCTCCTTCTAGTGTTCATTCATTCCCCCCTCAGGCACTTAGTCTCTGTGGGGCTCCCCGGACTGGACGCTGGAGGAGGGGATGGAGCTCGGGCTCCCAGGCTGGATGACTCTGCCCCCAGCTCCGCGCCTCAGCTTCCCCCTCCGGAGGAATGGGCGCTGCTCCGGAAAGTGCCCAGAGCTGGGGAGCCTCCCGGCCGGGTCGGAACGCTCAGGCAGAGGCGAGATGATGGAGCAGCTCTGCGACCGTCCCCACCGCGGCCTTGGGGGCTGCAGTGTTTGTTCCGGGGTGCCCCCTTAAACATCCTGGCCCCCGGGTTATCCTCTTCCGCAGCTCCCCCGCCCACACACACACCTTAGAGTCACCTTCCCCTCCCCCCCTTGAACTTGACCTGTGAACTTCCTCTCCCCTCAGCCAGCCATCTCGCGGACACCTCCCCTTCCGAAATAAATTCTTCCATTGCTCAGTGACCTTCGGGTTCTCCCAGTCCACCAGCCCGACTCTGGCCTATTTTCGGAGGGTCAGGGTCTTGACCCCAGAGCTGACCAGCGCCACTGACTTGTCCTCTATCCATCCTTGTCTCGCAGCTGTTCAGGCCCCTCCAGTCCTCAGCCCTGGGTCCCCCCACGCCACTCTCTGCCTTCTGCACCCTTACCCTCCTTTTGGACTTCGACACCCCTGGAAGGAGTTACATCCTCAAGGCTCAGTGAATACACCCCAGCTCTGAGTGCTCTGACCCCCTGAGCCCTCGGGGCTGCGCCCAAATCATTGGCCCAAGCCTCTTCCCTACTGGAGGCCTCGGCAGCATCCCCTCCTTCCCTCTGTCAGCAGAAAGCCTATCCTCCTACCTTCTTTGGAATATTAGGGCCCAATAAAGAATTGAGCTCCATCATCCCCTCCCTTTCTCTCTCTAATGCCTCAAAATCTCTACATCTTCAGCCTTTCCTCCTTTGCTGCAACCTTCCCCTTCCCACAACCCACCCCAGCCCTTCCACTTTTGGTCTTTCCACTCATCCCTTCCCCTCTATTCAGGCAGCATTCCTGAAAGTCTTGCTACCCTGGCAGTTAGCAGCTCCTAAGGAGGATGGGGGAGGGAGGGAAAAGATAAAAGGGCTCCTCATCCCTGGAGCATTCTCTACTGGAGGTTTGAAACAAGGAGATTCAGGGGAGTCTGAGTGGGTAGAGGGTACTAGCCAGCTGGGTAGGGGAGGAGAGATCATCCCTCTGCAGGAGCTTCCTCTAAGAATTAGTCCATGCAACTCAAAATCTTGTGGAAGTGAATGTTGAAAACCAAAAATTAATTAATAAAGAAAAAAAGAGTGACATGCTGAACCTTGGAAAAGAAAAAAAAAATTAGTCCTTGAGCTGAGCCAAGAATGGAGTCCCAGCATGAAAAAAGACTTCTGATCAGCCTGGTAATGCAGGAAAGTGCTGCAAGAGCAAATTAAGACAAATCCAGCTGAGGAGGGGACAGGATAAGTTAACTGCTGCAGGATGGGAAGGCAAGGAGCCCCCAACATTTTTGATCACACAACCCTATCAATAAAAGATGCTTGAGTGTACCGCCCCATATATGTAGAGGAAATAATTGGAAAAGAAATGAGAGTGATAAGAAACAAATTAGAAAAGACAGTTATGGAAGAACGAATTGAAGAGTGAATGAGCAGCTTGGCACAACAGGTATAAGACTTTACCCAAGGAACATTCGTTGAAAATTGGAATGAATGACATCAAATAAGTAAGTACATTTACAAGTTGTATACATAAACTATTGTACTGACAGCTGTAGCTATTACTCCTTCACACCCCATTCCAGCTCCACTTTCTGTTCCTCTTTCTCTGTTAGAATGGAAGCTCCTTGAGGCCAGTGTCTGTTTTAGTATCTCCAACACTTAGCACAAGGCCTGCCTATTGTAAGCCCTTGGTAAATACTTTTATGAAACCTACACAAAAACAGATATTGAAAGGGTGAGAAAAAGATGAAATAATATTTTCTTTGCTAGTGATACAAAATGCAAACTTAAGGCTGTCACTAAGTCCTGAATCTCTATGGCCAATAATAATGATTGTTATTTTTTTTCTTCTTTTTTTGTGGCAGTTGGGGTTAAGTGACTTGCCCAGGGTCACACATCTAGTGTCTGAGGTCAGATTTGAATTCTGGTCTTCCTGATTCCAGGGCTGGTGCTCTATTTACTGTACCACCTAGCTGCTCCAATAATGATCAATGTCTACTCATCTTTGCTACTAATTTTTTTTCATTTTCCCCCACTTAAGAGTATTTTATTTTTCCAATTACATGCAAAGATAGTTTTCAACATTCACTTTTCCAAGATTTTGAGTTCCAAACTTTTTCTCCCTCCCTCTTCTCCCCCTTTCCCAAGACAGAGAGCAATCCGATATAGGTTATACATATACAATCATATTAAACACATTTCCACAATAGTCATGTTGTGAAAGAAGAATCAGAACAAAAGGGAAAAACCACAGGAAAGAAAAAAGAAAGGGAGAGGAGGAAATAGTATGCTTCAATCTGCATTCAGACTCCATAGTTCTTTCTCTGGGTGTGGATAGCATTTACCATCACGAGTCTTGGAATTGTCTTAAACCATTGCTTTGCTGAGAAGAGTTGCTACTAATTCTTTCTCATCTCCCAAAAATGTTCTCATGGCCACTGTACTAGAATGCCTATGGCAGTCACAAGGTAATATGGAGGGCAAGGCATAGAGCACTATGGGCTGAAGGGAGGAGGGCAGGGAATTTTGCCTGCATAGTTGCTGGGGATGCCTGGATCATAGTTAGGGTATAATGTCCTGAGGAGCCAATGCCTTTGGAAAACCAAGAGTGGGAGGGAGTGGAATAGGGGAGTTTTGAGCTACTTATAATAGGTGAAGGGGATGATGTAATCTTGTTGGAAACAAGTCCTGGATTAGCTATTACTGGGAGTCTGGGATATGACCTGTCTTTCCACTCTCCAATTGTTTGATTAAATACCTTTCAAGGTTAGGCTTTGGAGACCCAGGTCGGGGAGGGAATTTGAGCTAGCCCGGACCTCAGAGGTCATTTCATTCAATCCAGAGAAACTGGAGTTCCATGCTCTTTCTAGAGTCTCTTTGGTGAGGCCATTACACAGGGCGGGCAATTAGCACCAGAATGATTATGGCTGTTTGTGGAGATGGGGACTGAAGAGAGGCAGATCCCCGGAGGGGAGAAATTCTAAGGGAGAGGCAAAGCCAAGTGGGTTGAAAATCTCCATGAGAAGAGGGAGAGAGAAAGGAATAAATGGTCTGTGGTTGTCACAACTGCCTGGAACCCAAGCACGTTATGCTCTGCTGAAGAAGTTCACGTTAAAATTTTTGCCCTCTTTAAATTTCTGGTTGGTGCCCAGCACTGATCACTCTATGTGCATTGGTGATAAGAGTGTGACCCAAGTTTTTGGGTGGACTGTTATATTATGATTATTCCCACTTTTACTTTTTACTGAATAAATGTAATTGTTCTTGCCTTTGCCCTACTGCTCAGTAAATGTTTCATGTTTAAGAATCAACGGTGTCATTGGGACTGATTTTATGTAAATGGGAAGAACATTTGCGGGAGTTCAAGTATTTTGTGGCTGTTTGAAGGCATGTGTAGCACCCCACACACTAGGGTTACTCCTCGGACCCTTGGCCAACCTGTCCATCTCCTGAGAAAGTACCTTAGACCTGCCAGTGTAAGTAGAGTGAGGGAGAGACTCAGTAATCCCAGAAAGATGAAGAAAGTGACTATCACGTCTGATACCACATCTTCAGACAATACCGAGAGCCTGATCCAGGGCCACACCAAACTACGTTAGTTACTGTTCTTTCTTTTTGGATTGTTGTAGTCATTGTATATCTTGTTTCTTTGGCCCTGTTTACGTTACTCTAGTTCATATATACACTCCCGTGCTTCTTGGAATTCTTCCTACTTGTTGTTTCTCAAATCATAGTAAGATTCCATTACATGCACATACCACAACTTGTTGAGCCATTCCCTAGTTGATGGGCATCTACTTTCTTTCCAATTCTTTTCTTTCTTCACCCTCTATTAACTTCCCTTACTGCCTTCAAACATGTCCCCATTCTTCAAAACAAAACAAAACAAAACAAAAAACCATCTTCACTAGACCCTACCATCTCCTCAAGTTATCATCTATTCCTCTCCTCCCTTCTCAAACTTGAAAAAGCTGTCTACACACATTTCCTTTCCCCTTGCAGTCTGGCTTCTGACCTC